TGCTTCGGGTCGTTGTCATGTTGGAAGACCCAGCCACGACCCATCTTCAATGCTCTGACTGAGGGAAGGAGGTTGTTGCTCAAAATCTCACAATAAATGGCCCCATTCATCCTCTCCTTAATACAGTGCAGACGTCCTGTCCCCTTCGCAGGAAAGCACCCCCAAAGCATGATGTTACCACCCCCATGCTTCACAGTAGGGATGGTGTTCTTGGGATGCAATTCATCCTTCTTTTTCCTCCAAACACGACGAGTGAAGTTTAGACCAAAAAGTTCTACTTTGGTCTCATCTGACCACATGACTTTCACCGATGCCTCCTCTGGATCATCCAGATGGTCTTTGGCCAACTTCAGACGGGCCTGGACATGTGATGACTTGAGCAGGGGAACCTTCTGTGCAATGCATGATTTGAAACCATGACGGCGTAGTGTTCTACCGACAGTGACCTTTGAAACTGTGGTCCCAGCTCTCTTCATGTCATTGACCAGCTCCTCCCTTGTAGTTCTGGGCTGATTCCTCACCTTTCTTATCATCAGTGATACCCCACGAGGTGAGATCTTGCATGGCGCCCCAGTCCGAGGGAGATTGACAGTCGTCTTTAGCCTCTTCCATTTTCTAACAATTGCTCCAACAGTTGATCTATTTTCACCAAGCTGCTTGGCAATTGCCCCGTAGCCCTTTCCAGCCTTGTGGAGGTCCACAATTTTGTCTCTGGTGTCTTTTGACAGCTCTTTGGTCTTGCCCATGGTAGTAGTTGGTGTCTGACTGACTGTGGGGTGGACAGGTGTCTTTAAAGAGCTCAGACAGGTGCTACTAATTTAGATTGAGTGGAGTAGAGGTGGACTTTTTCAAAGCACAGTAACAGGTCTTTGAGAGCCAGAATTCTTGCTGTTTCTCAGGTGTTCAAATACTTATGTTCAGCAGTGCAAGACAAATAAATTCTTTAAAAATCATACAATGTGATTTCCTGAAATTTTTTTTAATTCTGTCTCTCAGAGTGGGAATGCACCTACAATGTGAATTTCAGACCCCTCCATGATTTCTAAGTGGGAGAACTTGCAAAATCGCAGGGTGTTCAAATACTTCTGTTCCTCACTGTAGAGACCAAGGTGACAGAAAATTGGGCAAACGAAATGGGCTTTATAGACAGTGCTGGCGGGTAATGATAACACACATTCATCACTAGATATTGTTCTCCTCAAAACATTAAACATCATTTTTCACACTCCAAGATAAAAGCCAGCTGGGCCAAAAATTGCTTTAGAGGAGAGTGTCTTCTCTTTCTGTTGAGCATAGCTCTCGAGATGGAGCGCACACACACAGGGATCACTTACATCACTTAAATCATGAGGGGAGAGCACCAACTCTTGACACCAAAGAGCTTTTCCCCTCTCAGATCTGTGTTGGTGATGGTGTGATCACAGGGGAGAGCCGGTGCAGCCATGGGCTGTAACAGGATCCGGTTCCTATCTCAGCTGGCTTGACAGGCTTTTGTTGGGGCTTGTGAAGTCATGTGAACTCACTCTTTATTTTGTGGTGGCCAGACTTATGGCGTGACCCTCCAAAAAGCTTCAGGCTAGTATGAACAACATAATTATGTATCTGCAAAGTTGTGACATGAGCTCAGCCCCAGTTTAGTTTCTGTTTCTACTTAACAACACATAGGGTGAAACATGAGGATGATTGTACCACCTTTTGTTTGTGCATCACTAACTCAGTGTCTGTTCTAGATCTCTCAACCTTTGACACATATTTGTTTACTACAAATAAAACTCACTCGGACGACGACTTGTTTGATTTAGAATGCGTTTCTTTGTTGGACTAATTTAACAAGTTTGTTTCAGTTGATTTTATGCAGTTTTGTACTGAACCTAATTGACAGAATATCTTATGGAGCAGCAAGCTAAGGCAGTAGACCTACTACGACCTAATCAGTATAAATGCAACCACACTTGGTCAAACTAGCTTTAAGCTAATCTTCCTCTTCCCTCTTCCTGCAGGCTTGATGATGGGTTGTGTCAGGAGTAAAGAGGACAAGGGCCAAGTGCTGAAGTACAGACCCGACAACTCAAATGCCACACCGCCCAATGCCCAACTGGGACACTACGGGCCTGATCCCACCCTGATAGGTCATTCGCCAGCTATGAAGACACACAACAACAGCTACAACAGTCATGCTGCTGCCCTCACACCATTTGGTGGAGCGTCTTCAGCGATGACGCCATTCGGTGGCGCCTCCACTTCTTTCACCTCAGTGGCTGTGAGCAGTCCCTTCCCCAGTGTCGTCACAGGTCAGTCTTTGGAGAAGATTTAAGGCTTCACAGAGAAACGTGGGACAGAGGAATCAGCATATTTAAAAAAAAAAAATCCTTTGAACGTTTCTCAGTATGGATGAAATGTTCATTATCCTGATAAATTCATATCGTTTTGAGCCCCTCCAGTGATTAAACAGAAGTCAAAAGCCGTGCTGCTACTTATTCAACTAATTTGCAAACCTAAACACAACCTAATGCTTTTGCAACCATTTTCCTGTGCGCTTTTGTAACTTTTCATTCTTGTTATTATGTGCAAATCAGTGTATGTACAGTAATAGAATAAAGTCATTTGAACGTTATGAGCAGCAGCTGTTATGCAAATGAGACGTTTGAGTCAGCCAAAACATCAGGGCCCAACAGAAACTCAAAACAGGTGTGTAAGATGAGAGGCAGTGCAGCAAGTATAGCCTCTCCTGTTCCAAAGAAAACAGTTATATACACTGATTTCAGTGATGTTAGTCATGCACTTTTAAGGTTTAATGTCCAGCAAGAGTTCGACTTAAAATGCTTGTTGGCAATGAAAATGGCTCTTGGTGACGTGAAAAGTAATCTCAATTCTGAGTTGTTAGTACGTCATAGGTTGGTTGGGTGGGTAATTTATGCAGGAAATGTACATAGAGTGTATGCTTTCCTCCCAAAGCACGCACACATACACACACACACACACACACAGATATCCCTCAGTCCCTGTCTCACTTTCCAAAAGAGGATAATCTGGTCTGAGGTACTGATGTACATCTTACCATGCATGTTCAGTTTCCCTTCTCAAGATAAACATAGTCCTGTTGTGCGTTTTTATTTCACACTGGACGAATCAACTTGATTACAAAAGACACTGGCATCAGTTTGATTCACTGACTTGAAGTGACACCACTGAGGTTGAGATTCATTGAAACGATTTTCAGCTTTCCTGATGTGCTCTTAAAATAAATCAAAGCTAGGAGCGATGGATGTATTTTTACATCACAAGTAGTGGGACATTTCAAAAGATACACAGCTGTATTGTGCATTGCAGTTCTGAATTGCATTGGCAGGATTTGTTTTATCTTTTTGTTGATTGTTAATAAAGACGTGGCACAATGAGGAGTTGATTCGAATGAAATGTTCCAGGAGGAAAATCAAAAAGTCCAACAAAATACTGTACATCTATTATGATGATTTATTAGTAGTTGGTTTTTCTTCTTGGAATCGAGGGTGTCGTGTGCTGTACAGATTGCAAATTTGTGATGTTGGCCTTCACAAATGAACATTTTGTTGTGGAAGGTCGAAGGTTGTGGGTGTTGGTTGGATTTGTTGTAGCACATTTTGATATAAAACAGATTTTTCAGGATCTGTGGGATTAACTTGTTTGTGTATATGCACGCCTCTAATGCTGTTTGTCTTGCATTCAGGTGGTGTAACGTTTTTTGTAGCACTGTACGACTATGAAGCGAGGACGTCAGATGATCTGTCATTTAAAAAAGGGGATCGCTTCCAGATTATCAACAACACGTGAGTACATTTTTATACTGACAAACTCCAGTTGGATGTATGTGTGTATACGTTGTTGTGATTGTGCACGTGATGTCCTCTGTGTGTGTTTAATCCCTCGTTGTATGTCTGATATTAAGGCTGAAATCTGTCTGGGTTAATAGACCATCGCTTTTCTCCTGCCACAGATTATTCCTCCAGCCGAGAGCATTATATTTACAGCATAGTGGGGTAAAATTTACCACTTTTCTATCATTTAGTGAAGTGGGAAATAAGTATGTGTTAATGGCATTAGAGAAGCTGTATTCAGAGACGTCAACAGTGCACTGAAAATATGCCTGAAGGTCCAGCTCATTAGAATATGACCAAATCAAGTAGCTTTTGTTTTGTTTTGTTTTTTTATCATTGCTCATTTCAAGAATGATCAGAACAAAAACGATTTATTTTTAGCTTGTTGTCTTTTTACCAATAGAGTTCAGCTGTTGTCCTTGTTTGTCACTGTGTGACCAATCATTAATTTTGATTTTTTTTTTTTCCAATCGTACACAATGTTTTAATTTTACAAACTTCACTTTAGTGATGTTCTATTGTAATAATTAAGTAGAAATGGCAAATTGTAGTAAAAATGTTTCAACTCATTCCTTACTGCCAGAGCGTTTTAAGTGTGCACAGATGTGAAAATGGGCAGAGCTCCAAGTCCTCCATCAGTTCTGCTCTGCTCAGCTCATCCATCACATACGTCTCCTGCCAGTGTCCATGCTTATAAGGCAAAATATTTTCTATAGCCCCGTGTAGAATTTTGATTTTGTTGTACATTTAATCAAGTACTGTACTTCAGTGCAGTTCTGAAATGCCTGTATTTGAGCATTTCCATTCTTTAGTGCTTTTAGTGCTTTTTTTAATCCACCACATTTCAGAAGAAAATGCTGTGCTCTTTATCGGCTCCATTCTTAACAGTTACTTTTCAGATTAAGAATTTACATTAAAAAATACAAATGCCATATAAAATTCACTGGTCAAGATTTAGCCAGGCTTCTTGGCTTGTGACACTTCACACAAAAGCAGCTGTTGCCCCTTGTCATGTTTCAGATTCTTCCAGAGAGACATTTCCCTTGTAACTCCTCCTTGGGTTAATTTAAATAAGTGTTCGAGGCCCAGACTTATCAAGTATATAACAAAAAGAGAGATGCATCATTTCATTATTATTAACAATGTGTTAATGTACTATACAATAATATGACAATTGCCATTTTTCTACAGAACAAGTACTTCATTTTTATGCATTTTGCAGATGATTCTTATGGACTTGTGTAGGACTTTTAATGTGTTTACATTGTTTGACTGAACTTTTTTATAGCATCAGTTTTCCTTTCAGAGTGGGTGTATTTTTCAGCTATGCTTTTGCGTGTTGTTTCTAATTGACTTCTTTCTTCAGGGAAGGCGACTGGTGGGAGGCTCGCTCCATCAACACTGGACAGAAAGGTTACATCCCCAGTAACTACGTGGCCCCAGCTGACTCCATCCAGGCGGAAGAGTAAGAACTCATTTGCCTTTCTATCAGTCTGTCTGTCCAAATTCACCTTTGACTTTCCTTCCTTTCCTGTTTCTCACTTTGCTCAATTAGTTCTTCATTTGATTAAGATGACATGATGCAGCTGGAGGGTCACACATAGTGACTGCTGCGTACTCAATGTCAGTGCATCTAAAAACAGTGGAGCCCTGTGTTATCACAGAAATCCGTTGGCATTCCCATTGCTGTTTATCCGGTGTGACAGAAACGTTAAGGGCAGTGCTGCTTTTGGATAGGCTTGGCCTCATTTCTAATTGGCTGATGGCTGTTAAAATAATACTACTCATAAAAAAAACACTGGTAAAACCAGCCAGTTAACTTTGCTTTTAGTTTACACCCAGTTATTGGCAGTGTGCAGGATTTCTGGGTTTCCTTCTCACATTAGTCTGGAAAACAAAATAGGCCTGTGAATTTTCTAACATTACTAGACTAGTCAGTGCATTATTTTCAAAGTAGAAAAGCTAGATTTTAAGCTGTTTAGAGCTCTGAGCTAATATTATACTTATTTATTCAGAGCAGTAGTGATTACCTTATATGTACTAGTGCAAGCTAACAAGTGGATCAGCGGAGATTGGAAATGGACAGTTTTTAGCGTGATCGATCTTGACTGGTGACCGGCTGATCAATCTGATAGAGAAGCACAACAGTCCACATCACAGACCAAAAGCACAGCTTGTGCAGGATGTAGCATCTTGCGTGAACCTCAAGTGAGACTCGCACTCATGTCTAGGTGCGTGTTAACTCACACACTGGAAGCACTGTGTACAAAAAGTGCACGGAGGAGCCTACAGAAAATCACACAAGTATGACATAAAAATGCCCGACGTTTAATGCCCACTGACACCAAAACATATTTCCTGGATGTTTTAACTTACCAGAGGATTTACAAGATTCACATTAAGCCAGAGAATTTCCAAATCTCCAACATGTAAATATCACATCACCGGCACCATATTCTCATTGCATGAATAAGAAAATCCTGCTGGTTGTGCAGTATATAGCATCTCCTCCTGTGACTAACTGTGCAGCGTTCTCTCTTTTCGCAGATGGTACTTTGGTAAAATGGGCCGTAAAGATGCGGAGCGCTTGTTACTGCTTCCAGGGAACCAGCGGGGCACTTTCTTGGCCCGAGAGAGTGAGACCACCAAAGGTAAGAGGACTTATTCTATCAAAGTAAGACTGCAGTTTTAATATATGAGGCAAAAAATGAATTGTCTTGTTTGTGTTTTTGAGGGATGTGAACCTTGATTTTTATTTATTTGCTCTTATGTGAAATTGAAGCATTTAAAATGGAAGATTGTTTTACTGCTCTATGTACAATAATGTGACTAACAGTATTTGTATTTTAAAGGTGCCTACTCTCTTTCTATCCGGGACTGGGATGAGGTGAAAGGAGACAACGTCAAACACTACAAGATTCGAAAGCTGGATAACGGCGGTTATTACATCCCCCCTCGGGCCCAGTTTGAGACGCTACAGAAGCTGGTGAAACACTACACAGGTATGCAGCTCGTCCACATGGCGCACTCTCATCTTATCCCCCTGTAGGTAGCAGTTAGACAAATTGTTGTTTACGACTGGACAGAACCTCCAGCTCAGACCAAGCTGCTTATTTCTCCTTTCACACTTAAACAGTTCAGGGTTTGCTGCCTTTTTACAGTTGTTCCCATTCTTACTTTATTTGCTATTTCAGCTAACAAATTCAGCACCATTGCATTGTTCAGCTGCAGATTTACCTCTGGGATAAGTATTGAATACGTTTTAGAGGCCTTTTTTCTGTGGTGATTCTAAACGGCCACAGCTCAGTAATCACCAAAAAGCCCAACACAAGTAAAACCACGTGAGACTTAAGCCACAAGAGGCAGAAATACAAAAAAGCCTGCACAATATTGATAAGCAGGCAGCTCCTTCCTAAAAATCCCCTGATCACAAGAAGGCATCTGGATGATGGGAACACATGCAGGACAAACTCTTTATTGAAAACTTTGCAAGAATATAGTTTAGCAAGCAAGAGGATATTTGTAATCTGATGCTTCTGATGTTGTTGACCCTGCCCTGCTCTCTTCCACATGTGTTCACTTCAATACTCTTTATAATTGTTGACTGGTCAATTCAAAGCTCTGCACTCCTTCGTGTCCCTGTAAGTGTAGCCTTTAAACTCCAGGCAGAAGCCAATAATAAGTAAGGAGTCATGCAGAAGACGTATGGAAGCATACTCAGAATTTATTCTAACTGATCAGTGGTTGAATATACCAGGCTGGTTTTCTTTCTGTGTGCACAATTTAAATGGTTAGTGCTTTTGCTGTCGGCTCGATGCTTGCTATGTCTGAAAAGGCTTTTGTACCTAAAACAGCACCTTTTGTAACTTTCTGCTTCTTACTGAAATTGAAATGAAATTGTTTGGTTTAACATGGTTCACATTTATAGCGAAATTACCAGAAAATTGTATTTATTTCTGGAGGGGAACCGGACATTGTGGTTTGATGGTAGCTTGTTGCAGTTGTTCACTAACAATGTGATATTTCATTCATCCACTGTCTGTAGTATGGCTCACCTAACTGCTAGGATTGTGTATGTACATTTGTGTTTGTGCATGTTTTGACAGGCTGGCGGTGTCATTAGCAGGCTAATCACTGACCAGCTCATCCTCCTTTCTCTGTTTTTGTTTTTCTCCCTGTGTGTCTTTACATGCCCGTTCCTGTCCAGAACACGCGGACGGTCTGTGCTACAGGCTGACAACTGTGTGCCCCACAGTGAAGCCTCAGACTCAGGGACTAGCTAAGGATGCCTGGGAAATCCCACGAGAGTCCCTCCGGCTGGAAGTCAAACTGGGCCAGGGCTGCTTTGGAGAAGTCTGGATGGGTAAGAGACCTTTAGTACTGTGCTCAAGCACACAGGACATGCATGTAAGGATATGTCTGCCATGCAGATGTGGTCGTTGAATGGTAAGGTGGCCTTTGAATGAACACCAGGGCCACAGAACACACTTTTACAAGCTTTTGTTTTGGTAACATAGTGACGACATGTGCTGTGATGTACTTACTGAACAAGGAGAAAGTTGTGCTTTGCTCAGTGGCACTTGGCACTTGGCACTTGGATAGCAGCTGGTTTGACTGTGGCGCCCATCTTGCATCCCTACAGTACCTCCTGTGTCAACAAGGCGCATACGTAACTACACTCTGTAGTATTGATGTTTGACATTGGTACTGAAACAGTAAAAAATACAGTCAACTGCTTGTGTATGCAGTATACCTACACAGCCGCTGGAGGTTAAATAAAGAAACAGAACATCCTCTTCACATTATTTATAACTAATTTAATTTAAAACAGTTGAAGTATTAAATGCATATGACCTGAGTTTGTTTATAGAATGATTCACACTGGCCCACATAGTGATGTAAATGCTGATTGCCGTTGGTTTCACACACACACACACACACACACACACACACACACACACACACACACACACACACACACACAGCTCAGTAATCACAGGTCACCTCCTACGCTTCAGTTCTCCAGAGCCTGCCTGTGAGACGGGAGCCTTTCAGTGAACATGACTCTCCTCTTTCATCACTTGCTCTTTCATTAAGCCCAGCCTGCAGCAAGTTTCGACCTGCAAGTCTCCACTGCGCAATCCCAGGAATCCCTCTCTCTCTCTCTCTCCCTGCACTGTTTGTTCTTGATGGATTTCCTGCTCTCCACACTGAAAATCCCTTCTCCATTCACATGTTTGTTCCGTTGCCCTTCTATGTGCTCTCCACTGCATATTATTAGATACTGTCATTGCCCTGCTCTGCATACACATACATGGTAAAGGACAAAGTTTGTTCAGTATGGTTCATTACTGAAGGTCAGCCTTATGACGGAAGCAGTAGATAGATCTGCCTCCACTCATTGTATGTAAGCAGGGCGTGAGTAAATGGCTCTTAACCAGGAAGTGGCTGATTATTTTATGCTGTCGTGTTCTTTTACACATGGGAACGCTGCCAGACATCACTAGCATAAAGGGTAACTGTAGGACTGAAGGTTTGTTTTAAAGTATATATCACTTATTACATTGGGCATATCTTGGATAAATTATGTCCTTAAATGCCACAAATGCTAAATATAATGCTGGTTTGTGGTGTATTTCAAAGATAAGTGATCATTTTGCTTTTATTATGTTTTTATTAAGGCACATGGAACGGCACTACTAAGGTGGCAATCAAGACCCTAAAGCCAGGCACCATGTCCCCGGAGGCCTTCCTACAGGAGGCCCAGATCATGAAGAAACTCCGGCATGACAAGCTGGTGCCCCTCTATGCTGTGGTGTCTGAGGAACCCATCTACATTGTTACCGAGTTTATGGACAAAGGTAGGGGCAGACGTGCACGAAGAGACAAACACTTGCACGTGTCTGGAACGACGTGATTAATAACGACAAAGTTTGTTACACAGCGCTCCACATAAGAGGACTTTTAACTGGAATCCATAACTGAGCTCTGAGCTAATTTGGTCAAAGACCCAAATTTGCAACTCCCCTGAATGAATAGTTTTTTTTTTTTATTAATTGTTGTTTTTTCATTTTTGTGATGCTAAACTCTTGTGACAACTGATGCTGCATTTACTTTTGTATCATCTTTATACGGCACAGACAGATGTACTGATTCTGCTTGACATTAGTCTTTGAAACTTTTGACAGGTAGTCTGCTGGACTTCCTGAAGGAGGGAGATGGGAAATATCTGAAGCTGCCCCAGCTGGTGGACATGGCTTCACAGGTAGGGTCAAAACACAGGCACAGCAACCCCCTCTGCCTCTTACCTGCCCAGCTGCAGGTTTAACTCTGTCTGATGGAAGGATTATCATGCATCAACAATAAAACAAAGAAGTGTGTGTAGGAGTGTATGAGTCAAATATTGAGGCCCTGCGAATAAGGCATTTCATTTTGCTCTTCATCTGGCTGTCGTATTTATTTAATACCCACCCTGACATCTCTGCCCTCCCCTCTCCTCCTCTTCCTCCTCACTGCTTTATGTGCTGCCCCTCATTCTCCACCACTTAACTGCCTGCAGCACTTAAACACTGCTCATGAGAGGCCACTTAAGCCTGCCGGTTCAGTCACCTACTGTGATCTGCTCTTAATTCGCCTCTCCACACTCCCGTGTTCCCTCTTCACCACATTCAGCAGAGTGGAAAAGTGTTTGAGAATTAGGCCAAGGCGAGCTGAAACCTCGAGATGCCTCTGAGGGAGTTGACAGCCAGTGCGAGGAGGTGCTGGGGAGTTGTGTTAAAGTTTTATCCGATTATTCTCAGTTTCACAGCTGCAGATCATCTCTCCTTTTACTGCATATAGTTCAGCTTATTAAAATCTGGGTCAATTGTAACATCATTTGAAGTCTGTTTTCCTAAAATCACAACTGCTGTGACTTCCTTTTAGTCACAAATTGTCAGATGTACTTTTTGTGACTGCTTTGGTTGCATCCTGATGCTGTTCTCTGTTGGGTGACTCCTCCTCCCTCCCTGTCTGTCATGTCCAATCTTGTACCAGATCGCAGACGGTATGGCCTTCATCGAGAGGATGAACTACATCCACAGGGACCTGAGAGCTGCCAACATTCTGGTGGCTGACAACCTGGTGTGTAAGATCGCAGACTTTGGCCTGGCTCGGCTCATCGAGGACAACGAGTACACCGCTAGACAAGGTGTGCGTGTGTGTGTGAGAAGAACTGGCTGGAACACGGCGACTCCAATTTGTTTGTCTGCATTTGGGAAGTTCTGCACTGGCTATAAATAGACTACAAATGTATTTTGAATGCTTAATGCTTACCCTCTACATTCAGTTCATCTCATACCATGATTTCAACCAAACAGTGATTTTGGAGCTAAATCCTTTAGACGAGGAATTGATGAGTTAATCTTTTTTTTAAGCAAGAATGGTTAACTTGGGTTGTGGACTGTTAATTTGACAGTTAAAACACTTCAGAAAATATTATGTTGGACTTTGTGATTATGGGAAATTTAGATTTTTAACTTTCACTGGTATTTTATAGACCAAGATTTTGATTCATTAAGGTGAAGTCGGATAATTTGGGACAGTTTTTGCAAAACCACCTAAAATTCAGAAAACTGACTTCAGTGTTGCTTTTACAACTCACATTTGAAGTACTGTCTATGCTGACACATGTTCTACCTAATAACACCACAATGTTTTACTCATATTTAGTGCTGAAAGGATTAGTCATCAGTGTTTCTGATAATTTTTTTTAACTGTTAAAGGAAAAAGGCCAGACATTCTCCAATCAAATCTGATCAGATGCTGCTGTTTTTAGACATTTTAATGAATTCGTTAATTGAGAAAATGGAGATGAATCATGATAAATATACTCAGCCCTACTTATATTGATCACTTTGGGTCCAGTTGCTCCTGCCATGACTCTTTCTTTTCCTTTTTCCAGGAGCAAAATTTCCCATTAAGTGGACGGCACCTGAAGCTGCTCTATATGGCCGCTTCACTATCAAGTCGGACGTCTGGTCATTTGGTATACTACTGACTGAACTGGTGACCAAGGGCAGAGTACCGTACCCAGGTGAGGAGAAGAACTACACACCCATGTGCCTGTGCTGTTTTAAAGTTCCCTGGTATCTTGAATATGTTGCTCCCAAAGAGCATGAATGGAGTGCTCTCAAGTTTTCCTCAAGTGAAACCGGAGTAATTCATTCATTTTTACTTCATTGCCTCATACTGTTCTGATCCAGAGGCTTTTAATAGTATTTTTTCATATTTGTAAATAAAAAATAAAACTACATATAGATAATGAGTCAATGCTGCTGTCTAATCAGTACAGTACATGGGAAAGTACCCTTTACCCTACTATGTGTTCTTCTTCTCCCTGTCTTTTGCTATCTCTTTTCTGCCCCCTGCTGTCTGACAGCAGTACAGCAGTGTGTCTGGTGTTGCTGTGGTTGGCTGGCACTGATTACAGACTGTGCCATATGGCAGACTTAGCCACCATCTCTTGTAGCGGGCCATCTGGCTCCTGTGGCCTTCTTGGTTTCAGTGCAAACCGTTCAGTCTGATTAATTCACCCCAGAGCTGTAAATTCTAGGGGCTGAACCCCCTTCTTCCCCTTCCCTAAATTATTATGTGAGTCATTGGACAGTTTGTGGTTCTTGTCTTGCCGCTCTGCAGTGTGGGAGTTGTTTTTATTCACATGCTTCACAGTGTAGAGGCTTGATGGGAACATATCGTCTGATTTGTGCCTTAGGTGTTGTGTTACTTATTTATCTACTTTATATTTCATTTGTATTTTGTGGCATTCATGTGGACGGCAAAGTAAGAATTTCATTGTGCAGGGAAACACGTTTCCTAACTGCATTTGACAGATAAACACTTTGACCTTTGGCCTTGATTTTGTTTTAGTCTGTGTAGATAATACACACCCAGATATATGACAGACATGTTATTAGAGATGACGATTCCAGATGCAAAATATAAGTCATGCTAACACCTCAGCATCCGATGCAGCAGCACCACCAGTCTGATGTAATTTGCTCCAGTCCTTTCCTCTCTCCCAGTGTGTGAGATCATCTGATCCCTAATCTCCCACAGAGGGGGTGGGGGTGGGGGGTATGCAGCTAAGGCCATATCACTGACTCTGTGTCATAACCTCTTTTAGCTACAGACGAGCTCCCCGTGGAGCGGTTTGTGCTCTGTGTCACAGGGTTCAGGATCCTTCCTGTCTTGGGAAGGAATCCACCACTCTGGTATTCTAGTATGTCAGAATGAGGCCAGAAGATGACACAGTACTCTGTGGGTTTTGTTTGAATTCTCTGCAGCTGATGGGGAAATTTCCCTAACTAAATGCACATACTGTGTGTTATCCCTAGAACCTGGTGTATCGAGTCAGAAAAGCTTTCTTTTACGCTGTCATTTAACTTTTTAAAGCACATTATTTCTACAAACTTGTTTTTGCCCTGTGTGTATTTTAATTGACTACACATTTTATAGAAGATATTGACTCAACTTGCCTTTTAGGTTGTTGAGTTTTTATGAGATTTCTTTGGTCTTGAACACGGCGTGTGGACATATTCTACTATCAGCTGCATGATGCCAACATTTTCTACTCCTGCAGGCTGCATACTGGGTTGTTTCCCAGTCAAAACATGTACCTTGTAATATTGTTCTTGACCAGGAAATTTCAAAAACCATTAAATCTGCAGAAAAGCAGTGCTTTCAAAATAAGGTATTTCAGTTTCTGAAGTAAATAACAAAACCAAATATGCTTAAGTACACAAACGTACCATCTATTACTTATGGAACAAAGCATCTATTGAAGTTAATCTGTAGATTTTATTTGGAATGGTCGAGGCCCTGCTTTTCCACTCATGTGGACAAGTTCTTGGCCAAGTCAGCGGGCCTTAGTTTTAGTGCACTGATGTGTGCATGTGAACGGATGAACGCAAATTATATTTGAGTGCCATATAGATGAAGTCCAGTTAAATGACCTTTCTTTGTATTTTTCCAGGTATGGTGAATCGAGAGGTGCTTGAGCAGGTGGAGCGTGGCTACCGAATGCCCTGCCCCCAGGGCTGCCCCGAGTCCCTTCATGAGATGATGAGGCAGTGCTGGAAGAAGGAGCCAGATGAGAGACCCACATTCGAGTATATCCAGTCCTTTTTGGAAGACTACTTCACAGCCACAGAGCCACAGTACCAGCCAGGAGACAACCTTTAGTCTGGTAGATTTTATGGCAAAATGTGGCACTACAGAGGTACATCAGTGGAGATCAAAAACACGGGACAACAGAGGTTCAACAAGGCTGTAAATGCTGTGCTGAAGGTGCAGAGAAAGATTTTACGAACTAATTCACAACCACACTGACATACTGTACCTGCAAACGCAAGAAGAAAATGTTTTGTGAAGTTGAGGTTTGTCCCTTGTGTACCTGGGGACCAGATATCTGAGAAGGTATCCAAGCGTGCTGATGGTGGTCGGTACGGAAACCTCTGGGAGCCCTACTAGTCAGAATAACCACATCACTGTGATCAAAAACAGATGGATTTTCCCAAGTTCAAATCTACTTGTAGAGGCACAATTTTAATTCTTTTAAATGATAAATTTCCTCATCTGCTCCGGTTTCACATTTTTATTATATTTTTCAAACATAATTCTTTTGTTATTCTTAAGTGACCAACAGCTGTGGCTAAATCATCAAGTGTGTGCTGTGACCGTAACGCTTTGATGGAGAAGAGCGAGGTGAGGTAGATGGAAAAGGTGTGCTGTATGGCTGCAGAGCATGTATAAAATGTCATTTTTATGTGATCAGGTGGATGAATGAAAATATGAAAGTGATTTATATGACTCTTTTTAACATGGTCACTTCAATAGCAAATCAGTTTATTATGCTTTTACTTTTTTCCATTTAAACTGGGACTTGAAATTGTAAAGATGTATTTTGATCATTTACAAGTGCAAAAACAGTTCTCCTGTTTAACATTTCTAAATGTTTTGAACATTTCAGCTGTGAAATCTGAGAGATTGTTTCATGTCTGTCTGAAATTAGCATCTTGTTTTTTTTTTTTTTGTTGGGTGCACAGCTCTTTGCTTTAAACTGTCTCTAAATTAATTCTCAACATTTGCATTCATCTACACACTAACAGTGCAGTAGATGGGTCATCTGGCACAAGAAACAGATTTATTAAATACATATCATCGGCTGTAGTATTTGTTTCTTCTCAGTCAAGTCCCACCAGTCTATGACTAAACAGGCCTGCAATGTCCTTAGTTGTGTGTCTGCTGGAGGGAATGTTATCCAAAGCCAACTACACTAAATACAAATCTTAATTTGTGAATGCAGCTTTGCAGAGTCATCCAGATTGGTTCTAATGGTGTTTGCCTGTGCAGAGCTCCCCTTATGGTTTTCTAATTTCCATTTCTCCAGTTGTAGAGATGACGGATCACTTCCGGAGCAAAGTAGAGCCGGGCAACGCAAACACCTTACACACACTGTGGTCTAGACAGGACTTTCGTGCTTTTGCAGAGACTGGGAATAGAAATGTTTTTAGAGGTACTTCCACTGTCTGTCCAGCTGTGTGTGATGAGAGATTTTAGATGTACTTCAATAACAAAGCTTAAGGGACAGACAAAGATGTGAACTTTTTTTTTTTTTTCCTGTGCGTCACTCATGAAAAACTAATATGTAATTGTTCCCAAGGATGGGGACTTGGAACTAGTGCGGAAATAGTGAATAGAGAGAATGGCAACTCATATGATTTTGTACAGAAAAAATAAAAGTTTTACTCAAAGGTTTCCATCAGCTGGCTTTTTCTTGACAAGAGGCAAAAGTCCTCGTCCAGAATCAAGCCTAAGACATCTTGGTTAACTGAGCTGGAAAGAAGCACGGTTCAATGTTTATAAATCATTCAAGACTTCTGTTGTGAAGTATGTTTGCTTTTTCACTTTTTTAAATTGAGTCTCACTTTATTGTATTTGTATTTTAATTTTGTTTACACCATTTAACAGCATGTAAGAAGTGCTTTTTTTTATTTTAAGTACATACCAATAATTGAAATAAATTTAAATTTCAGTGTATTTACGTTTCAGCAAGGTAATGCCTATCGTACAGGAACGCAGTCTAGTTGTGCTCACAAAGAAAGTGGTGGTAAAAGGTTAGAAAAGGAAATACTGCGGTTTTATTCATCCTCATACCTGTAAAGAGAAAGAATGGTTTTGTCAGAAATTTAAGTTGTACAACATGTTAGAATGAAGAACTGCAACCAAAGTCAAGAAAATTTCAAATACACTTGAAGCTCATTATGTAACAACAACTTCCTTTTTCAAAAATAAATCTAAAGTAGGAGGATAAAAGAGATGATGGATGACTCCTGTCCTTGGGGAAATTCAGCCCTGTGATGCCACTGGTGTATGGTATCACTTTCTCACCTAAACATCTCCTTGTACTTGTCCAGAGCCTTCTGGGCCACATGCTGGATGAAGGCTGGGTCCTGCAGATCCAGCTCCCCGGGAACAGAGATGGTAAGTGGTGGAGAGTTCAGGATGTTGACCTCCACCTGGGTCTCAGCCACATACACGTTGTGTTTGTCATGGCTCTTTGGCGCCACCTAGAGAGTGGAAGCAGTATTGTCAGGCTATGTCCTGTGATCGCTGCCTTGGCCATTACTGGTTGCTTACTGGTCTATGTTTGAATATTTATAAAGATTTTTGTATTATTCTTGAATATGTGCAGTATACATTAAAGGCTCCTCCAAGAATTGCCATCATAATGTGGTGGAGAAGTTTGTGAAGCCCATTGATTCTGGAAGCTGTGTTGTCAGGTGGGGCATCACCACCTGGTAGAGTAGGCTGCTCCCTTCAGAGTTGGGAGTGAATTAAAGAATTTATGTATCATGAGTATTTGCTTATGGGTGAGGGTAAAATTGAGTGTGACAGTGACAAGTGGGCTGATGAAGTGTCAGCAGTAATGTAGGTGTATTGTACCGGACCAATCTGTGAAGAGGGGGCTGAGCCAGGAGGCAAAGCTTTAGTCCAGTCGACCCTCACCTGTAGTCATGACGACTGGGCGGTGATCGAAAGAATACAAGCAGCTGAACTGAGTTTCCTCAGTAGGGAGATTGGTCAGTGCAAAGAGCCCATGAAACCCTGTTAATATGAGCCAAGGTTGGAGCAGTTACAGTTGTTTCATTGTGTGAGATCCTTCTCACTGGTTTAAAGTAGTTGTGGCTTAGTTTGATGAGGATGGTGCCCAGTACTTTAATGCACCAATCAGCATTTAGCTAAATGAAGAGAGAATTGAACTGTTTGCTGATGTTGCCATGGCCATGTTGGGTTTTTCCTCTGTAATAATAATAAAGTCTAGACCTTACTTTGTAAAGTGTCCTGAGGCGACATTTGTTGTGATTTGGTGTTATACAGATAGAACTCAATTGAATTTTATGGCCACAACTGATCCAATCAGTCACATCCACATAGTCCTGATTAAGCAGATTAGAGTATTTCACTGTTAAAAGCTAATTATATTTAGATTGATTTCTAAATTTTGTTGTCATTTAATTAGTCTTGAATATTTAATGCTATAGGTAAGTTTTTCAGGAAAGCTCCTGCAGATATACATTTCTGTTATCTTTAACAGAAACGTCTGTTTGTCTATTAACATGCACAACATTAATAACCTGTCTAATGTGAACAGTTTGTACATGATGGCTTTCTCCTTCCCTCTTCATATTATAACCACTGACACTATTTAAGTTCTCCAGCTCACCATGGTGACGCGGAAGATGTTTTCAGGAGTGCTGCTGCTGTTCACGGCTTGAGCCACCCAGCTGAATTCAGCAGCCATGTTACTAAGCCAGCCGACTGTCTCATCAGTGTGCCGTTGGACAATAGACAGGATCTCATTATACTGCTCTTTGGAGATGTCCAGCAGCAGGGAAACCTCATCCAGCTCCACATGCAGCTCACGAACACTGGGACACTCTGGAAACAGAATATCGGTCAGATGAGCTGTGTGAAGATGTCAGCTGAACTAATCACAAGTGTGAGGGCGGTGGCGTTTCACCTGTGAGCAGGGCTCCTTGGCAGGTCTCGCACTGGTTCTGTAGCTGCCAACACTCTGACGTCTGTTTGTGAAGGTCTCTGCACAACTTCCTGTTCCTGAAATGGGAGAAACTTTCCCTCTCTACACCAAAGAGAAAAATATTTCTTGTTGGTTGACAGTGTGTTTAGCATTTGAAATATGAAAGGTTGCCACATTTAAAGTATGATTTGGTTATTATGTTACAATTGGTTCACCCCAATAGGTCTCCACCATGGAGACCAAATAATCAGCTGGTTTTCATTCCAGCCAATCATGGAAACAGCTGCTATTTAAATTTTACACATACAGTCAGATAAATCTCTACCTTTCTTCTTCTCTTCTTCCACTGCCACATAAAGGTCATCAAACACCTGGGTCACCACAGCTCCAAACTCCTCCACCACACTCTTGCCAAAATCAAAGAAAGAGTCCAGCACCTCCTCCAGGCCCACACCCTGCAGGAAGCCAGAGTCCCGTCCTGGGTCATCGGGATCAGAGGTGGTTTCTTCCATCGAGACTTCTGTGGTGTTCAGGAATGCTCTCTGGAGGACTTTGTCGAGTCTGCTGCTCATTCTGGACACAAGGGCAATGCTGTGGTTCACCAGCGTGCCCACCTTGCTGACCAGGCGGTTGAAGGAATCCTCGAGATGAACAACCTCTGTGTCGGGGTTTTCAGGACCCTGATTCACCAGGATGTCCTCTGTGTCCATGTGAGGTTCCCGCGGGCCAAAGCGCCTAGACACTTTGTGGAAGAACCTCTCCACCTACAATACAGAAGTAAGTTGATTTCACTATTGTCTAATGCTGTAATACCTAAGGTGGGAGTCACAGTACGGTTACTGGGGTGCACAATAACAATAGAACAAATTTCTACAACACAAAATTATGCTAACTTTTTTTTCCAATTTTTACTCATCTTTGTTAAATGACTGTATAGGTCTACCTGTACAGTTCTCCAAAGAACATTCAGATAAAACATCCAGTGAGACAAATTAAACACGGTTTATCTTAAAGGTTAGTTTCAGAAAAGCACAAGCTGCAGCTGTACTTTTCACACCTTGGCACGCTGCACCTTAACCACTAGCCTACTAGGGACGGCATTTTTCACACCTTGACACGGAAAGTTGCAAATCCCCTGCGGCAGGTGGAGGTGTAGAACATTTTACATGCATCCTCCAAACAGGGACTGCACTTCTCCCACTCAGACTGCAGGGAGTCTTTACACTGTTCCTCTGCCTCCTCCAGCTTCTCAGTCACCTCCTTAACCAGTTGGGCTGCCCCCTGGTGGCAGGAAGGTTAACACTTAACATAGTGTCATTAGTTGATTGGGTTGGAAAGGTTAGAAATGTTGATCTTACCTTCTTCTTGTCACTGCTGTGTCGGAGTGACTTCATGAGATGTTCATGCTTCTGCTCGTTCCTCCACATCACCTCCTTCATCTGTTTGACCCCATACAGAGCCCTCCTCACTTCCTCATCCACGAGTTTCTCGCCATCCATGGACAACTCTGAGGGGCAAGGAGAAGAAAATCTGGGTGACATATTTATATGACCACTTACATTACCACTTCTTGTTCCAGTCAAAGCAGTATCTTAAAAATATTAATTACCTCACTGTGATTTATGTGGTATCAACATCTTAAACCTAATTCTATAACACAGTCAAAACAACTTTAGCTTTTAAAACTGTGTCAAAAAATGGACACAGACACAGCTCCACAAGAGAAACAAATTGTATCAATAAACATGCATTCATCTGCGCCAGCTCACGTTTTAAGGTATCCTTTGAGGGCTGGTCCTCAGGAGCAGAACTGAGGACACCCAGTGTCACCACCAGAACAGCCAAACCAAGCAGGAGTGTCATCCTTGAGCTCAGTCACAGTGTTTGAGAGGACACGACAGGTATGGTCCTGGGTTTATGTGTGAATCCCACTGGTGCAGACTTACATTTGAACAATGGAAGATAAATGCAAGTATCTCATGCACACACAGTACCAACACAACTCTGTTTGCTTGTTCTTGTACCCACATATACATACAATATGTTCATGTTGAGGAACTAAATTAACAGATGTGACCTGATCCTAAATGCTAATAAGATTTGAGCCTGAGCATGAGGAAACATCAACAATGGTCATAAGTAGGTCTGCCACTTGGTGGTGCTATACAACTGCCTGGATGTACAAAACTAGTCATCTGCCCTTGCATTTGGATGTCACATGATAACTGGACCAGGAACAGTTGAATTTAACTGGTTAGACAAAAGGGTTTCACTGAAACCTTTAATAGTGTTTGTGCCACAATCCCAATAAATAAAACTACTGTATATATATCATATAATTTGATTCTGAAATTAAAACAGGTTTCTATGGTATATGAGGTGCATATTTAGACAGCTGGAGAATTTACACATTGTATTTATTCTATGTTTGACAAAGTTTCAGTCCCATAACTTTAGCTTTGGATGCAAGTAAACACGCAAGCACTTGTAATACATAGTATATACAGTGAGGAACAGAAGTATTTGAACACCCTGCGATTTTGCAAGTTCTCCCACTTAGAAATCATGGAGGGGTCTGAAATTCACATTGTAGGTGCATTCCCACTCTGAGAGACAGAATTAAAAAAA